TGCACAATAAATTGAACTTATCTTTTCTTTTTTTTTTTTCCCTTCACTCAGGCATTTCTTTTTTTTTTTTTTTTTTTTTTTTTTTTGTTTGTTTATTGCATCTTTGTGCACCTATCAATCATCCTTCACTCTGGAATTTGTGCTGATATTTTTCATCTACTGTTACACGTCTCAGCAGTACAACAACTTGTTTAGTCTAACTTTGTCTTTTCAGTCAAGACCATAAATAGCAAGTGGACACATTCCATTTATTCCACTTCAGGCATACATCTATTAATGCAGCTTCTGACTTCCAAAGATTTCGCAGGAAGAGGAGAGAAAGAACTAAAAAGGAGAATACTAGGAAAGGATACCAGAAGTCCTTTAACTGTACCATGAGGTCAGAAGCACAAATTTTTGCATTCTTGCTGGAACAACAATAATAACAAAAAGAATCTCTCAGCAACCTCCTTGAAGTCTATACCTGTACTTTCCTTCTGCAGTATCTTCCCTTTGCCAAAAAACATGTTTCACAAAGTATCAGTGCAAGATTCAGCTGACCTCTCATCATGTTTTCTCTTCAAAAGAGGATCCACATCTCAAAAGTATACAAGGAGATCAAAATAACTCACAGATGGATCTGCAAAAATTTGTGCAGAATGGATCCTACCACTGAAGTCCAAACCATTTTTAACTGAAGTAGGGCAGAGTCGTACTGAATTTGCCAAATACGTTATTTAGCCAAAGCTAATGTCTATTTTTTTTGTGGTGGAAAAAATAAACACATATGAGAGAACAATTTCCCCAGGGTCAGCAGGGACAATTACTCCAGTGGGGCCTCTGTACTGTAGGTAAGGCTGTTTGTATTCAGTGTACATAAATTTAAATAGAAATAAGCAAATAGATTTTAGTCACAGTAAGATATTATGATTTGAGTTAAACCTTAAAGAAAGGTAGTACTTCATTTTAGATAACTATAGATCAGCTTTTATTTTTAGAATCTGGGTGATTTTGTATAATAGGTCATTTTTTACACAGTTCCCATTTGCACAGGTGTGCCTAAAGACAGTTTGCTCTGTGTTCATGCAGTATGTGGCACATTGCATAGACAGATTTGCATTGAAGATGTCTAACTTCATCACACATTGGTTATCTTCACCAGAATTATCTGCAAGGTTTACTGGAACAATTACCCAAACTCTGAGAAGTTGTTCACGTAAATGAAGAGTAACCATATTGCAACACTATGCAGGAAGTCTGAGATCTTTCCAGAATGGGGGGGATGGGGGAGAAGAATGCAGCATAACTGGCATTTTATACATTTTTCCAACGGAGCGCTCGTAGGCCACGGTTAATGATAAATAGAAAGAGGATAAGGAAACATGGCCTTAAGATAAATAACATTACAGGCACTCCAAATAATACCAACAGCAGACAGAGTCTAGCCCATACCAATCATATGATGGATTAATAATGGATTAAGACCAGTCACTTTATTATAAAGTCTGTACACAGATGGAATACTGACCGTCTATGCAATAGAGCAATATTAGAAGTCATGCATAATTCAAGCACATTGTATACATCTTACTGGGCAAGCTGAATACCTTTTCTACTGTGAACATAAAACACAGCAGAGTTTAACAGAAATAAAAAGACCCTGATACAATATATATTTTAATTATCTCAACTTTGATAAGCTGATGCAAATGTAATCCCCTTTAAGCTTTTCAAAGCTACCTTACCATACCTTAATTATAAACTCAATAATATTTGATTGCTAAGTTTAATTAGGTCAAAGAATGTTTTAGTTATATTGACTCTCAAATACATAACAAATGTTCATTCAGCACTAAAAGCCATCAAAATTAATAAACTCTGATCTAATGTATGTAAATCGTGCTAAAATCAAGGTATGTTTTTGTTCATAGTTTATATTGGAGCATACTTTATTAACTTGCAAATTGACAGATGATCATTAAGATTTCTCCAGTTCCAAGTACACTAAGTTAATATTTGAAAGATTTTTATTTTCAGTAATAAATGTTATATATAACCCAAATAAATAACTCTTCTGAGGCTTTATATGAAAATGTTTTACTTATCTAGTTCATCATGCATCTGTTGTGTGTTCCTTCTTGATATGACAAGAAAACAGAAGCAACTTCCTTGAGCTTACAACAAATTCTGCATACTACTAATAGTAGTACTAGCATACTAATAGTAGTACTAGCATACTGCACAGCATTGCCCTTTTTCTTCTCCTGAATGGCATTTTGCTTAAGTAGGTGCAATTTTATTTGGAAAAGTGCAAGTGCTGCATTAGGTTTTTTACCAGCTTATTGCTCTAGATACCTCCTGAGTTACTTGTGGTTTTACGGAGTTGAGACTCATGGTATCATCTATTATCATTACAAAATTTTTCTTCTTCTTCAGTTATCCACTTTGCAACAGCAATTAAAAATATATTGTTTTTAGCCATCTTGCTGAGTGTTCTACATAAAAACCTCCAGACAACAACATTCATCACTGCTTCACTTAGTATAACGTACCAACTACATGCAGCAGTCCAAAATTTGTTTTCCCAAAGAGCACTCAGCTACAGGAAGTAAGTAGTCATGCTGTTTCCATGTAAGACGCAGAAGAACTGGCTGCCTGATCCTGACTGAGGAACATAAGGATTTGCACTCCTCCAGCAACAGACCTGGCTCAAAGAGGATTGCACAGACTGAAGACCTATGTTTCAAAGGCTGGATCTTAGAAAAGAATAAAAATGACAGCAGCAACAAGGATTGAAAACACAGACAGAAAAATCTGGAAATTGAATCTCTAAATTTAAGTAAGGAGAGACATCCCACCAGCACAAGTAGAAATACAGAGAATTGAGGAGCTGTAGTTGGCTGTTCTAAAGATGAGAAAATACTGGCTGTATATGACCTTGAAAACGGTTTCACTTTATCCGACACTCCAAGCTATCATAATTATCTATAAAATTTAAAATTTGCATAAGAGATATTAACTATATATCTGTAAATCAATACACATATGCAAATCACTCTAGAACATATCACTACTTTAAGAGCACAGCATGCAACACTATAGGTTGAGTCAACTGTGTAAGCTGAATACAAAGTAAGCCTGTCTGTGGAGGTCAACATGAACAAAACCACACTGGATAACCTTTTCCTTTAAAAACAGACTTCAGGCTGTGTTACATTCATACATTCATGCATTTGACAGCCCTCACAGTCTGCTGGTCACATCTGTCACAAGTTATCACTACCTGTTTGACATTGAGGGGATTTACAAATCCAAGCTGGCAATAAAATGAGCCAAGACCAACCAGCCAGATTAATAAGCCAGTTGATAAACTCCCAAGTCATCAATATGAGTCCAGATCACTAAACAAATACAAAGATTATTTAATGTGCTTAGGTTACCAGTCCCAGTCCTGAGTCAGCAAAGCTCCAACCAGTATTTCCTGTGAAAGGAAATTCTGTCATGACCGATTCCTCTTGAAAAGACAGGTGTGTCTGGCCATGGTCAGTCATAAAAACGTTTTATATCTATATTTTAAAAAGATTGCAGCCAGATGATGAGGTAAATTGGCCCGAGACCTAGCCACCTCAACATGTATGTTGCTTTGTGGAGCAACTCTAGTCTTTAAACAATTAACACCCTCTCTTTTTCCTATCCCCCACCTCTCCTGGACAAAGGTGTTGAACAAATGCATTTACACAAATTAGAAACTTCAGAGAGAGTCAAGAATTGCCACATCTTTCTGTTGTCAAGCACCAAAGGCAAGCAGTGAAGAAAACCCTCATGAACAAGAACAAAGCATGAGGCATGTCCTGGAGGCAAGGCGCTGAGGCTGGGCAGCAGTAAGTGTGCCACATGACTGGCAGCACTTCTCTGACTCAGCAACTCACCTCAGTGAGCTGCGAGAAGCAAGTGGGAGTCGTTCGCCTAATTATGTAAGATAGGAAGCGTGTTGTACAGGAAAGTCTAATATGCTTATTTGTTAAATACACATATATATTGATTTTATCACAGAGCCTGAGAGACTTATTACCTGAAAATTTTAATAATATAAAATTACCACAGTTAGAATCTAAATTCTTAATAAGGAGCACATGCATTCAATTTTGGTGCCCTTAGCCACTGCCTGGGAAAACAAATGCTTTCACTGAGGATATATATCTAAGCTACTTAGCCCATATTTTCAAAGACATAAGAGAGTTGCCAGACCAAGAGTACCCTTAAGTCACAGCTTTACATGGAAAACAACACACACTGCAGTGTACTGCATAACCACCACACATACACACTTTAACATCCATTAAACTCAGCAGAAAGATTTTACTCCCTAAAGCTTATTTTTAAAGTAAGCAGATATTTGTCACTTCAGTAACTTGTTTTGCTGTTGTTTGTAAAAGAAAATCAATACTTAGAAGGTGGAAACAGTATACACATTAAAGTATGTTTTCAAAAAGTATATTAAAACTGGACAATTTATAGATTGGGGTTTTGGATGTTTTCATCACATCTGAAGTGTGATAGAAAATCATAGGTGTATCTTCAGCACATCACTTTAAAATGATGCGTGTAGATCTCATAATTGCATTAATATCACATTAAAGATCTTCACAACACCAGTGACATAACTGAAATAAACCATCTCATATAGCCAAGCAATATGATAAAAGGTCTGTTTTTAAGTCCCGTATTCACAATGCCTTTTTGTCCTGCTAATTACTTACTAACAAGAGATTCACTGCTTTACTGTCATTCTAACTTCCATTTTTATCTTTATAAATACTAGTACAGAAAAATGCAAAGCAGCAATATAAATAAAATTTAAATTTTTAATAGTTAGCAAAACAAATTATTAATGCTACACATACAAACAATCCAGCTAAAAGGACAAACGGGTTTATTTCATAGCACATATAATAACCAGATTTTATTTTATAAGGAGGGGAGGAAAAGGCAAAAAAGGGGAAATTAAAGAAGTTACTCACACTTGTATCCAGGCTACAAATACTGATTGTATCTTCATCCTGAGTACTCTGTTTTCGTTTCTTCTACAAAAGAAAATGAAAAGAAAAGCTTTAAGAATACCACCAACTACCATCAGCCTGATCCCAAAACAGGTATACATAATGAAGTCATACACATAGGTATACACAGTTAATATCTTTCTCTCATCATCATTAGTCATTATAATAATAATGCATGTGAATACAAGCTCTATTTTTGTGTTCAAAACCCACCTATCTGCATGTAAGTTAGTTAAAATGTTGGTTCTTTTCCTGCTCACAGTGAGTGAGGTTTATTAACATACCTTTATTTTTTAACTAAAAACATGAGGAATTCTTGCATATTGTAAGTTGCACAGGGAAGTGGTTGAGTCACCATCCCTGGAGGTAGGGACATGGCTTAGTGGTAGACCCGACAGTACCAGGTTAACAGTAGGACTTGTTGACCTTAGAGGTCCTTTCCAATCTAAATGATTCTGTGATTCTCAAATATACTGCAGGTGAAACATACTGCAGGAATTTAGTTCAGTTTTTGTTTTGGAAAAATGAAGAGCCCTCCCTGATGTCATTTCACAGGTTGATCACAAGATTAATCTTTGTGCCTTTCAAATAAGAAGCATGAAATTTCATTTAACAGAGCTCTGCATTTTCTACCAGACCAGAAATATTTAAGAAACAAGAGAAATCACAGAATATATGATCCCTATTTATCCAGTTGTTAGTCTTCCACTGTCAAGTAGAGAGAAGCATTCACAAATAACAGCTGGGATTTAGTTTCCAGCTGTTGTTTCATCTAAAAGACGAGCATTAAAAGCAAAACAAAACAAAAAATATAAAAATAAAAAACAAACACACATGCTGTCCAGATTTATCTTTTTATATTTTCTGAATCTCACAGAAGTACTAAATACATCTTAAAACAGTCAAGAAAGGGTTTATATATAGAGGGAATTTTATCAGAAATCCTGCATGAACACACACTATACCCGTGTCACTTTAGGCTATAGTAACTTCAGTAATATTACACTAAATAATTGCTCCTGAGAGAAAGTTATAATTAGTAATGGGAGAAAGAAAAAAAAAAAAAAAAGCTGTAGTCCATACCCCCACCTCCTCCTCCTTATTACTCATGCCACAGGCTCTTCTGAAGCACGAAAGTTTTACTCTAGCCAGTAAAATGACCACTGCATCTACTAAATCAAGCATAAGGCTTCTGATAACCACTTTGATGAACAGAGGTAAAGAATGTTTATTATAAAATCCAGAATTTTTTATTTCATGCTGTTTAAAATGAAGCAAGAGGTGCTGAAACTTTTTATATTTACCCAATAATTTTGAGCAGATCTTTGACTTGCACAATGTTTTATTACAATTTTGCAATTTCTTTCATGAAATTTATTTAACTTGTCTCACTTTTTTCCTGACAATGATAATTTTAAAGTCAACAACCAGTGGTATTTTAACACCATTATTATTACTTTATTTAGAAACAGAAACTGATTTATGAGTTCTCCAATCACATTACACAACTGGAAGTGTTCTATAAAAAGTAATTATTTGTCCTAAGACTGGGAACAGTCAAATCCCTCTTACTGTTGCAGTATAGATTTTGGATGGGTGTGCATAGATGGACATTATGCAACTGCATCCACAGCCTGGGTTTGTATTTTTGTAAGTTACAGAAGTATAAAAATGCTGTAAACCTAAGCTTCACTCTGCAAAAATATTAGAAGAGTTAATTCCAAAGGAGTCAACATAATAATAATAATAAAACAGAAGAAGGCAGATCCACCATTGAAAAATAAGAGAATATTTTTTAATCAAAAAGCTATCAACTTTTTTTTTTTTTTTTTTTTTTTTTTTTTTTTTTTTGTCATTTGGTAGAGAAATTGTCAAATATCAACCACTGCAGGCAAGCTGGATGTTTTCATTTTCTAAGTATTTCAAAGGCTATTATCATTATATAAGTGGGAGAAAAAAAGAAAAAAAAAACACCATAGCAAAATTTATTCCAATAACTGAGCTCCCAGATAAATTTCTTTGCCCATAATAAGCAGATTAGAAGCAAAGACTGCAGTTGATACTGTGCAGGGAGCATAAAATGCTTATTACTTTAATCCCTGCTCATTGTGAGCATTTTTTACCCAAAGGAGTTCCAACTCCAGGCTCATTTGCCATAGCTCCACACAGCTGACTTCTGTATTCCTCATGCTCCATAAAGTTGCCCCTAAATGTTACTCTCCATCTTATGTTTTAAGTCACCAAGCACATCATTTATCTCAACAATTTGGCATACGTTCCTTTCACAAAAGATTCTACAAGTACAGCGTCAAAGCTTTAGGCTGGGCCCACAAGGGTTATGTGAATAAACATTGTACATATTGCATGCAATTGAAGCTGAACAAGCTTACCTGCAAAGCCAAGGATCTTTGACACTGAAGTGGATTTATAGCCCAAATACCAAAATAAGCTAAGTGGTACATTAATGAAAAAGTTGAACTTTCTGACAAAATTTAAGTAAGCCAGGCTCTCTATGGGCTCCAATACTTATTGCACACATTGATGTGTTTATTTGTCATTTAGGCTAACAAATCGTAATCACATCATGAGACATTATGGCAGATTTGTCATACCAGCTTATATCAAGCAGTACCACTTCAGGCCAAAAACCACAATGTGTGAAACTTTCCTCAACATGTCACCTGTACTGGTCCAGGCACAGCACAACAGAGAAGGACTGATTTCTTAGCTCAGTTTCCTTACCTTGCATATAGCACACTAGTATTTACTAGTTCTTGTTAATATTGCTTACAATCATCTATGGCCATGTCAATCACCAGTTTTAACACAAATTAATAGCTTTTTAGGACTTTCTGGCCTGAAGAAGCATGTGCGGTTGGGAGGAGGAAAAGTCCATGCTGAGTGTGCTGTATTATGAGGACAGAAACTAATGGTGTCATTAGCTTACTCATATAGAGATCTTATAGAAAATTTGAAGATTTAACCACATATTTGTTATGAGATAGAAAAGATGAGGCCCTTATAGAAATCTGAATATGCCTGAATTACAAGTTATGTTCATTACACGCACAATACACAACCACATTATAACATACTGTGTATGTATGCTGTTTTAACAGAATCATGCCCAATTAGTGATTGTATCAGTATTTGTTTTAATTAAAATCCAGTAAGAAGTCCCAAAACATTATGAATATTATGAAAAGGGATAAAGTAAGACACACAAGCATTAATGCACCCTATCTTTGTACTTGGGAAGCAAACTAAAGCTACTGATGTGAATATTCCTCAAATTCTAAACTGAATGTTCCAACCAGAACCCCTATGTATTCTAAAATCAGAGTAATGTTATTAAAAATAATCCATTTTAAAGGTGTTATGTAATCCTTAAACTAGAAAGGATCACACATCATTTCTGCTGTATACAAACTATGTGAGTAATGCCATGCTGCAGCACTGTACTAAATACATTAAATGTAAAATAGTTTGGTTACTCCATATTACTCTATGAGAAATAGACAAGTATCATCTGCTATCTCACTGCAGAGTAATTATTTATTAGAATTTTTATTTACTCGACACAAACTGAATTGAAAATTGATATGATGTTGTTTGCCTTGCTGGGAAAGAAGGACCATTTTCAGTGCTTCAATAACTTTCCTTTTCTGCATTATATTTGGAGACCTTAAGAACAGGTGACAAAGTATACCTATAACACATCTATTCTGAACACAAACAGGTCTGTTTTTTTTTCTGACTGACCACACATTTACACATTACACACATTTGAAATATGCACCTTCAGACAGAAGGATATTTTCCATCACACTTGAAAGCATATTTGTCTTTTGAAATACACAAAAATCAGAATTATTGGACCACGATGACTGGGCATACACCAAGTTTGAATCTTTATCTGTGTTTGGTACTGGTGGCTAAAAGGCAGTGGATACAGCCACAGCTACAGAGACAGAACACTTCCTGGTCTTAACATCTCAGGAAAGAGTTGTTCTCAATAATTATAAAGCAATGATTTAGTTAAAGGAATTAGAGTAATAAGACATTGTTATAGGAAGGCTAGATTAACATCCTCTCTCCATCACAGGGTTTTAGTTATTCATACTGGAGATTTATATTTTACCACCTGAGAGATGAAATGCAAAAATGCACAAAAGTAATTTGATTTTAAAAGCCCATCCTGTTACATCAAAGGAAACACTTGTCAGAAGAATTGCTGACTTTTCCTAAATCATGTCTATTCTAATTTCACAGAAGTGTCTTCACACAGATTTGCTTCAAAATAAAAAATAATAATAATAAAAAATAAAAAAGACAATGTACTCAAGTAGCCAGGTCTTTAAACATTCAAAGTAACAGGCCTGTGCATTTCAAAACAGAGCACACAACTTACTTTTTAAGCCTTTTTTTTTTCCATGCAGAAATCCATTTAAATGAAGGAAGATTCTTTCATTTCACCAAAACAGACTTTCCCTTCCCTCTCAAAACAAAAAGTCCAAAATAAAGACAAAATAACCAATTAATCATTCTGTATTTAAAAATGTTTCTATAGAAGTATATCTGAAAAACTTGGTCTTTCCAGAATACACGTGTGGGCACATTTCAACACTGTCACTAGGAAAAAAGCAATATTGTAAAAAACAAAACAAACAAAAACAAATAAACAAACAACAACAAAACACAACCAAAAACAAACAAACAAAAAAACAACCACGCCTCACAGTTCTAACATGATTTAAATAAATATAAGTAGGTAGGGCTGTGTACATATCTACATTTTTTTTTGTATGCACATGAATATTTTATAGTTCATACATGTGTATACATGCCTTTCTTTTCTGGAAAAGGAAAGTAAACATGTTACATGTTCTACTCTGGATCCTTTGAGCATCCTGTTAACATTTTTCTTGGTGGCACTTGTGACATACCGAAAACTATGCAAGTAAAGATTATTGAGTCTAAGTTACATAAACGGTTTTCCTACCAACAATAATTCAAAGTTTCTT